GAAAGAAAAGAAAAGGAAAGGAAAGGAAAAGTAAAGGAAAGAAAAAGCTAAGAAGTAGAAAAGAAATAAGAAAACAAAAGTAAAAAGTAAAGGAAGCAAATTATAAAGAAAAGAGAACAAAACAAAGCAAAAGAGTCGTTGAAAAACGACTGTTCATTTGTTTCCTAGGTCAGTGTGAAACAGAAAATCGTAGTTCAGTTTGTTTTCCTTCAAAGGAGCTTCATATTTCGTACCTACAAAGTCCCGTCAATATTTACACTTGTAATATAAAGTATTGGTACTAGTAATATTGATTTGAAAAGGAGAAACTAACTTTAAATTTGATAGGAGTTCAGACGAGGGCACTGAAACTAAATGAGAAAAAAGTAATCGATCATCTATAGATTGCATGGATGTTTTTGTCCTGATTATCAATCCTGTGAGACAATCACTTCTGACCCTGATAAGGATAAAATGCTGGCCAATTTCATAACTCAAGATGAGAATACACTTTGGTTCAGTTGTCTTTTTATCTTTACAACGAAGAAACCAATTTTGAAACAACTTTATAGTAAGTTAAATTTATCAGCTTCATACATAAAAGGTAAGTTGACCAAAGTCAAAGAAATTTGTTTCTGAATCAACTCAGAGCTTTTGTGAGTGAAATTTTTTCTTAGGCCGAGAATGTGCGATTAATGTTTTAGTAGACTCCACTAAACCTGTTTTATTGTGTTGTGTTTATCAAACTTTTGACGCCAGATTGTAGTTCGTATTTGAAATGGAATCTAGATTCAAGTTGATATTTGCAGAGGGAGGAAAACCGCGGGGAAATGAAACTCGGATACAAACCTCAAACCACGAAAAGAACCTACGAGAACCTTTATCTCTTCTATTTTTGAAATATATAGAAGGACAATTCCGCTAGCTAAGACTCAATCGGTAAAGCCATTTGAATCCAGGAAATGGCGGACTGTTGAAAAGGTAAGCTATTTTGAAAGGATCCTGATCGGATAAAAGCTTGCAATAACTATTAGAAAAAATATAAGCCCTAAAGAATACTTAATACTTGCTTCTCTCTAAGCTGCTCATTCTGTATATTCATTTTCCATTGAATTGTGTTCACTGCATGATTTTGTTCTCTTTTTTATCGGCTCAGAATTTATTGTTTTATATATACAGCTTCTTCATTTAAAAAAAAAAAGTTGGTAAAGACTTTGATGCATGTTGCTTACTATACTTAAATTTATTATATTCTATGTTAATGATGTCAGCACAGAAAAAAATATGCCGGAAAATATGCAGACGATTCAAAGTTTAGTACGATTCCATATCGTTGTGACCTTTCGCTGATTGCATTCACATCGTCCATAGTGCAATTTGTGACTGGTATGTAACATAGAAAAACACATTCACCAACCTTTTTTTWWAAAAAAAAAGCTGTACTTGCATTTCTCGTTAAACAAGTCAACTGTTTTGTCACTCACTAGACCTAAAGCTATCATTTTCGATGGCATTAGGACCACGTGGTAATCTCTTGAGAATAAGATTCTTGTTTGAGTTGTATCCATATTTGTGTGTCTTCTCATGCGCAACCATCGGGAAACAAGGATATGATACTTTATATGCTAAAAAGTCAATTCCCAAAACTATAAGGTCAATTTTTGATTGCATTTACAGCTGACAAAGCCAGAACAATTATCCCCAAAAATGGCGGCGTTTATGACGTCACTGTAGGAATTGCCAATTTAATGATCACACCAAATTATAGATGTGTGCTATCTATGAATCTTAAATTGTAGTTGTTGGCGCCTTCATTATGGTTATCGACTTCATTACCACAGTGGAATTAATATACCACTCAATCGAGAAGTTATAACATACATTGATGTTATATAGTTGAACCGTGTTAATCAATAAAGGTTATTAAATTGATGGCGACGATTGGATGATTGACCTGCGTCGAACGCTAAAGTTAACCAATCAAACTCAAGAATTCTGGCATTGGATTACTATAGCAAAAATATTGGTGTCAAGTTCGATCACGTGACAAGTGACCGGCTTGTCATTACAGTGCAAGAACATGCTAGGCAATCTTTTAGGATTCGTATTGAGCTAATAGCTAGGTGACGTCATTGATTACGTCGAATTGTTTAACGCTAACTAAGGTTCAGAAACGGCCAATGATTTCTCTGCAAAAAAAGTAATTTCTGACATCCTATGACATGCCCCCTGTCGTTTAGACTTCGGTAGAACCTCTTTCAAATAAGCGGCCATCCACGAAGCATTGTCACAACTCGTATATAAAGTATACGTATAGTACCGTCTATATTAATAGGTGCCTACTTAATACATAACTAGGAAGGGCGTTCACGTAGAAAGTATTCTTGCCGCTGGCTAGTTTGAATGGGAAGTGTTGACAGTACCTTTGATATATGCAATAAACACAGTCACGTGCTAGACCAATATAAAGACCTCTAGGTTAGTATATTTATTATTGCCCGTGAACCACAACCATTTGGATCGACTACATGTCAAGTGGAGGAAACTCAACGACTTTGATGTAATTAAAAAGCAATTTTAAGCTAAGCTTTCTACTAGAAAATGTAGTTATTCTAGGGAGTGCTGGTCTTTGCCTTCACCAGGTTCGTGTACACAAGGATACGATCGAAATTGCGAAAGTAAAAGGTAATGGTTATCTAGTAAGACACTAATGTATATATATATATATATATATATATATATATGGGTTTCCTTATATTGAAAGCCACTTGAGAGTTTAGACGGTAAAAGGGAAGATGGAATGCTTTCATAAAGGACACCGTAAGGAAGTCTGCAGCATTCAAAGACACCGGAATCGCTTTTAGCGATAATATGACCTCTTAATTTTACTCCCAATCCTCTTTAGCTTTTAAGAAGGCATTCTTTTCACCTAAGTGAGGTGCAACAAATGACAAGACAGTGTTGGGTTTAGACGACGGATCGAGTCAGTTAAAAAACATCCGATTGCAATCAATCTCGCGAGACACTTTAACGAAATACTGATATGATAAATGAAGGCGGAATCCTATATTGTACGTAAGGAGTCTCACAACAGCAAATTCAGAAACCTTATCTTTAGCATTGATTTATGATCTGAATTTCTTTGCAGAATGAGCTCCACCGAACGTGAGATGGAAAACTCCACTAGTGCGTCGTCGAGTGCAGGGATTTCATTGTTATCTGACAGCGAGAAGATCAGCTGGGCAGTGGCGTTTGGACTCGTTGCCGCTACTGTTATTCTGAGTAACTCTTTGACATTGACTGTGTTTCTAAAGACAAAACTAAGACAGCGCCAGAGCACTTTTTTGCTCATTAATCTGACTATAGCAGATGGCCTGGTCGGGTTTCTCTCGATTCCTTTGTTTATATACATGTTGATGTTCGAGGGACAATACAGCAAGGTACTTTACAATGTCTACACTTTCCAAGATATTGTTTTAGGAATCACTTCGGTGTCTACTCTAGCCTTTGTCGCCTTTGAGAGATTCTATGCTGTTTGTTACCCATTGTTGTACCGAGGGACTCTCCCAAGAGCGCATTTTGTCATGATCGCTTCGGCCTGGTTATTTGGAGTTGTCATAGCTATTCTACGAGTCTTGACAAGCCTTGGTCTCATTCACCTGAAGACTTTTACATACATTATGGTAACCTCTATTGCGACTCCACTATTAATAACATGTGTGATGTACTTTGCTGTATGGCTGTCAACAAATGTTAAACCAAGATACGGGAGGATTCCTGATAAGGAGAGGAAACTATCCAAAACTCTTTTTATTATCACTTCCATATTTATCATAAGTTGGACGCCTTTTCCTGTCGCAAATATTTTCAATACTTTTTCCAAAAAACTCGCTTCTTTTTCGGGTTTTATCACCTTTACTTATGCGACTAAACTACTTCATTATGGAAACTCGCTGATCAATCCTATTGTGTATACATTGCGTATAACAGAATTTAGGAAGAAACTTACCCAGATTGTGTACAAAGACAGTTGTACTTCCAAGACACAGTCTTGCTGTAAGAAAAAACGTAGGTTTAGTTCAATGTCTGGGGCCTTTTTGTGTCCTGCGCGGAAGGAGTAAAATAACTATATGTTACGGGTCTTGACAGCATCTCGTGTTCTTACAACACCTAACAGTTGTTTAAAATTTAAAAGGAATTATACGTTAAAAAATACAACAACAACAAACAAACAAAGAAAACGAAGAGAGATGAAAAAGGGGAAAAAAAGAGATCGCATAAAAGAGGAGGTGTTACAGGGCTAGTATGAGAGAACACGAGGAAGAAAGATAAGGTAAAAGAAAGTAAATAGTTAGTTGTGAAAGAAAAAGGAAGAAAAATAAATAAAAAAAAGAAGAAGAAGAAAAAAAAAACAAAAAACAGATGAAGATGAAGAAGAAGATTAAAAGGAAGAATAGCAAGCTTCCAGAACTATATCGTACGTGTAACCTATATGGCAACCCCAAACCTCTAGCACATTCTGCCTAGGGGATTGAACCCAATTGCACCTAGCAAAAATATGGAAACAGTAATGGAAAGATTACTCAATAGACCCCCTGCATGTGACGTCAAAGCAGCTCAATTTGGAGGACAAATTTTAAAAATAATTCTAATCTATTGAGAATTGGAAGCTCTTGTTATGTCCTCCAAATTGAGCTGCAATCCGACGGACGTGCTGCAAAGGGGCCAATTTCGCTGCTTATGCCATGTCATGAGGCAAGAGGTAGATAGGTGCGCGTCGTGTATGAAGTCACGAGGCACGAGGTAGATAGGTGCGCGTGTGTGAAGTCAAGAGGCACGAGGTAGATAGGTGCGCGTGTGTGAAGTCAAGAGGCACGAGGTAGATAGG